AGATAGATATAATTAATTTTTTTTTTAGTGTTTGTTTAAAAGTTGGCAACACTTATTGTGATTAAAAATTACAAAACGAGATTTGAATTTTTTTTTTGTAGTTTAATTACAAATATTATTAAATTGTAGTTAAGCGATAATAATAATAAAAAAACATTATTAAAAATTCATTTTGCGTTTTGTAATTTAAAAAAAAAGTAAAAAATTTTACGAATTCGTTTTTACTGGGGGAAAAAAAAATTTTTTTAAAACTACAATTTACTTTTACTACACGACCGACTACAACCACTACAACATTCACTACATTTTTCAAGTTACGTAAAACCAAAAAAATTTTTTTTTAAAATTCATCATCAAAATATTTGAAAAGTTAAAAAAAAAAAAGAAACGTAGAGAATTTTTTTTTTTTTTAAATATTGTCTTGTTCTTTTCCGTTTTTTTTTTTTTTGTTACGTTCGCGAACGTTTCCTTAAATAGATTTCATACGAACGAACGTATTTTTTGTTTTCGTATATTTTCTTAGGGGAAAAAAAATAAAAAAAAAAATAAGAGGGAAAAAAAAGGTGAAATGTGCGTCCTTAGCGACTACCCAAAGACATTTTTTCCCATTTGGTGGCATTTTTACTGATCCCCCCTCCCCCCTCAACATCTTTTTTCCTTTTTTTTTTTTTATTATGTCAGGGATTTCGTATCCCGAATCTATCTTAGCACTTTATTTGTCCGCACACGAGTTTCGTATAATAAAAAAAAAACTTTTAATAGTTTTATATATATATATATATATAAATTTTATTTCCTTTTTTTTCTTCTTCTTATTTTAAATAACAAAAAAGAAAACTATTTTAAATTAAAAAAAAAAGTAGAAAACCAACCGACTTAATCCCAAGAGTGATACTAAAAAAAAAAAAAAAAAAAAAGTTTTCCTGTCGTTTCCGGTTTCATTATTAAACGTTTTTTTTTTTCACAACAAAAAAAATTTTGGGTAGATTAAAATAGACGTTACCAACTGTTTGTTTTTATTTTTTTTTTTGGCAGATTTTTAATAAGTGAAAGTTTTTTTTTTTTTAAACCGCCATTTTATCAAAATGACTTTATCGTACGCGCGTGTAATTTAAATCCCTCTCACGACTTAATTTCGTCTGCTTTTACGTTCGTTAAATTTAAATAAAAATTTTTTTTCTATTTATTACTCTGTCCGTTCGAAACGTAATTTACGATCAATGGAAAAAGGAGAGGAAGCGAGAGAGAGAGAGAGCGAAAGAGTGAGAGAGAGAGCAAAAGAGAGAGAGAGAGCGAAAGAGAGGGAGAGAGAGCAAAAGAGAGAGAGAGAGAGAGAGAGGGAGAGAGAGAGAGAGGGAGAGAGAGCGAAAGAGAGAGCAAAAGAGAGAGAGAGAGTAAATAAAAAATAATTGTAATGATAATAATAATAATAAAACGATCCTTTTCCTAATCATTAATTTAAGAATTTTAATTTCAAGTTTTTCGGGTAAAAAAAAAAATTTACTTCATTTTTCTTCACTCCACCCCCATCCCCTACCCTTAGAAAGAAAAAAGGTATCTATCCTTATTTTATTTCCTTTTTTTTACCCTCCATTTTGTTTTTTTTTCTGTTTGTTTTCGTTAGAGAAAAATTAACTTTTTTAATCTTTTGGGTTTTTCTTTATTATTTCTTTCTCAAATATTTTACGAAAGAGAGAATAAAAAAGAGAAAGAGAGAGAGAGAGAGAAAAGTTAATTGTCTGTCGAATTTTAAAAGTAAAACATCTTGTAAGAAATATTTCAACCGTAAGTTTTAACGTCTTGTCATTCATTTTACACAGGAAAGGAAAAGAAAAAACAGTTTTATAGCCTTAAAAGTTATAAATTTTAATTTTAACGTTTGTCTTATACGTTTTTAAAAAATCCAACGCACGAAATCATCCGTTACACATTTTTTTTTCTAAAATAAATTTATAGATTATAGCTCGGCTATAAAATAGCAAAAAAAAGGGAAAATTATCAATGATTTTTAATAACTAGAAAGTTTTACGCATGCGTACCAAAAAAAAAAAAAAAATTAAATTAAATCGTGATTTTCGCTTTTTTTTTTTTTAAACTCCATTACTGCCAGATAATTTTATTATTATTATTATTTCTTCCTTTATGTCCACTATATTGATTTATTGATTTTTTTTTCTACTACTACTACTGCTACTACGCCCTCTATTTTTTCCATTTAACTCTTTTATCGATTCAATTTTTTTTTTTATTTGAAATTTAAGTGAAAGTGAAATTTTTTTTTATAGAAAGCATTACTTGGATAATTTAAAAAAAAAAAAAAAATTCAAACTCACGCGTTTTCAATATAAAATTTGTAATTATCAAATTTCATCATATTATTTGACGAATCAAAATCGATGACGTGAAATTTTTAGCGCGAATCATAGGGGGAGGGGCAGGGACAGGGGGAGGAACCTCGTCATGAATTCTAATAAAGGCTTCTCTATTATTAAATAATAATAAATATTTCAATATGAAAAATTTTATTTATTATTTTATAATTTTTATTATTTTATAAAAATGCTTTTTTTATTTTATTCTTCTATATACCCTTTAGTAATAAAATAATTTTTTTTTTTTTGTAAATTTAAAGAAAAAGAAAAAACGCAGCGTAATAATAATAATAATGATAATAATGATTTTTTCTTTTTCCTTTTTCTTTTACGATACCCGCGCGAGAGATTTGAAATGTTTTTTTTTATTTTTTTTCCTCATTTTTAAAATAAAATAAAAAAACGCGAAAATTAATTTTTTTTTTTTCCTTTTTTTTAAATTCGTGACGTCAATAAAAAAAATAATAAAATGAGTGGGAGAGAAAGAGAGAGAGAGAGAGAGAGAGAATGGTAATCTTCGTATTATCAGCCTAGTTATTATTTAAAATAAAAAAGGTATATATTATTAACAACAATTTAAAAAAAAAATTTATTTATTTAATAATTAATTAATTGTTTAAACAATATTACTATTACTAATAATAATAATGTTTTTCATTTTAAGATTCGATCATCTTATTCGATGGAAACGAGTTATCTCCTGCACTGGGCTCCAGTGACTGACATCTGAGGAGTGGCCAGAAATAGGAGAATTGAGATTCACAACCTTGTCAAGAACTGACTCAGGTCGACAATAGAGCAAGATTTGCCTTTTGGTTCATCTGTCTTTATTTTGTTCTCATTTCGCTCCATTAAAATTATGAATCAGTCATAATAATGACTTTAGATGTCAATTTTTATGTGTACTTAATAAAAGATTATAATTTTTTCTTAAAATTATTTCAATACTTAATTATCCTACTATTTTCCCATTTCATCCTTAATTTATGCACACAATGTACAAATTGCAATTTTGTACCTATAAACTTAAGTAATCTGAAGGCAGTCCAGAATTTTTTTAATCTTAATTGAAATTTTACTCTAAAAATATGGCAAAATATGGCAAATTATGTTATCAGGCTCACATAAGAAAATGGAGGTGTACAGAGATTTTAAATTCACCTGAAACCTTAGATTCAATAATTGCAAGTATTTTAATACTTTTAATGGCAAAGTCTGTTACCATGTATCAGGCAAACATAAGAAAATGGAGGTCAAAAGTAAAATAAAATTCAATCAATGGTTTCCCACTTAAAATCAGGTGTACGAAGATTTTATATTCGCCTGATACTTTAGATTCAATAATTGCAAGTATTTTAATACTTTTAATGGCAAAATACGCTTCCGTTTCAACTTTATGTTTTCCACGCCATAGCCAATTGTGCGTGCTCTTCTTATTAATATCTGAAGCGCTCACCCTTTTTAAATATTGTCTGTGTAACTTCTTCTGTTTCCATTTGCCCTTTAATTTCTTCTGAGATTGGGCTTTGCTATCATAAGTTCAAGTTGCCCTTCTTCTATCGCATTTTCTTCAATCCCGAGGTATTTCCTCGTGGATTGATCCAGGGTCCGAGGGCCGAGAGTTAGTGGCGTGCTCATGTAATCTAGCTACTTAAAGGCCGGATGCAGCGGATGCCTGGTTGTGTAATTCGCGTCGGACTTGTCGTGCATTGTTTTCAACGGTCCGCGGGAGCATTTTGGGGTCCCGACCGAGTGTTTTCGTCGGCCAACAGGGTTATTAAGAACTTTGTTTTGATGTGCGGCAGTTTGAGTCCCGTTTTTCCCGACCGCAGACGAAGAGTCAGACCTGTACCTTACCAACCCTGGGGGTAAAAAAGTGTTGGATTCGGCACTTTTCTTTCAGGATTCATCGTCATTCGACTCCGGGAAAACGGGGATGCGAGCGGAAGGAACACGGGAAGATTTTTTCGCGTAGGGTCGACTCGTCTCCGAAAACTCGCCATTTTCGGGAGTGGTTCACAAGCGTAGGACGGCAGAAAAATTTCAAAGAGCAGAAAATAAGGGGCAGAAGAAAAACACTGCGACGACGGCTCCGACGAGCGACGACGTCGGAGGCCGCGAGGGTTGGATTCTAGCAAATCTTCGGTCTTTCTTCCGCCATAAAGCGGCAAAGACGCGTGGAGAATGGACTCGGGCGGGCCGAGCGAGAGTAGCGACCCCGTTCGGGTCGCTCGGTTCGGAAACTCGCGTCTCCTGCGACAGAAGCGGGAACGACGTGGCAAGTTGCGAGTGTCTCTGTAAAGGTGATTCCGGAAGGAGAAGAATTATTCTTCGGACGGAAGGTAAGGTAAGGGAGAGGGCATGGCGGCGGCGAGCGCGAACTCGTCGTCGTTTCGTGCGAAACACACACACGCACACACACTTCTTTTCTAACTTTTCTTCTCTTCGGTCGATTCCTCTTCTGTCTACCTTACCAGGCGACGAGGTAAGTCTAAATCCTCAGCCCCAATCGCATCCTCAGAAAACAGGCGCGTTTTTCGTCTAATTCCCCCCCCCCCCGAGGCGAGAAACTGGAGAGCCAAACGAGGCGAGGACTGTCCCGAAAGGGAGAGCCAAACGTTCCGGGAGATGCGTACTCACCTTCGAGGTGACGGCGGAACGAAGATTAGGGCGGATCTCCCCATAGCGATCATGTGGAACGGTCAACGTTCTGACCTACCGGAGAGGGGAGATTGAAATGTAGGTTCCACTCCCACGAGCGTCTCCCCCCTTTCTCTACAGGTCACGCTATAGCGACATGCCCAGGAGTTTTAGTGGGTTGGGGTCCCCGGCTAGGCTTTCTTTCGATTCAAGCCGAGTCCCACACTCCCTTTGTAAAAGGAGGAGTAGTGCGTAATCGCATTTCTCAAAAAAAAAGGGACCAGTTCCTTTTACGCCTACGTGGCGTTCTCGTCCGGGGCTCCTGGGTGTTCGGCGGGGGCTACCTTTTGGTCCGGCGGGCTTCGCGTCGCTCTTCTCAGGTAGAGCCCGTGGTCGATGTACGAAGAGCGGCTCGTCGAATGTCTCGCCATGGAGTCGTGGTGCAAGGCCAACTTAGATTCGGGTATAGGAAACGACGGTGTGATGGCGCGGGGGATCCAGGACGTTTCGCGTCGCATCTAGGATTCGTGCATGAGGAGGGTCGGTTCAAGATCGAACGAGCGCAAACGGCCGAAATCCTGGTGGGCGGACGGGATAGGAGAGTTTTGGAAAAGAGTCCTGTCTCGCTCGTCGCCGGTTCAGAGATAGGAAACGGGAATTCCTCCGTCGCGGAGGAGATCACGAAGACATCGTCGCGGACGAAGTTCTGCCGGGTTTGAAAGCGGAGTGGCGGGCGTCGCGGGTTCGAGTTCGCCGAGAGATATGGAGTTCAAAGGAGGAGAGTTGGAAGAAGCTCCTGAGCGAAGTGAATTCGGATCCGTGGGGTTTTTCGTTCCGCATCGTGACAAAAAACTGCGAAGTTCATCGGGGCCGCTAACGGATGGCACGACGAGGGATTTTCTCGCCGAAGTAATCGCGGAGCTCTTCCCTCGCGTTGCGCCCTACGCGTTCCGCCCGCCGGATTTTGCCTTCGTCCGCAAACGCGACCGAGTCACTGAGGGGGAGATCCGCACCCTCCTCGACGCGACTTCCAAGAGGCGCACGGCTCTGGGCCCGAACGGCGTGCATTATTGGATCCTCGGCAAGTTCGCCGAGGTGATGTGCGCGCGTCTTTCGGCGCTCTACACCGCGCGTTTCAGGAGGGCGTCGTTTCCGAAGCAATGGAAGTGTGCGAACCTCGTGCTACTCGAAAACCGGGAAGAGATCCGTCGACGTCAGGCGCATATCGACCGATTTGCCTTCTCGACGTGGAGAGTAAGTTGTTCGAGCGTGTAGTGGCGTGACGGGTAATCGGTCACACGGAGACGAACGGAGGGAGGAAGGACTTCTCTCTGATTCAATACGGCTTTCGGGCGGGCCGATCCACAATCGACGCGCCCGTTCGAGTCCGAGACGAAATAAGGGAAACACTGCGCCGGGGCGGATTCCGATCGCTATTTCCATCGACGTTAAAAACCAATTCAACTCCGTTCCGTGGGACGCGATCGGGAGCGGACTGAGGTCGAAGTCCGTTCCCGACTACCTCGTGGCGGACGAAACGACGGAAACGGCGGACGTTTTCTGTGGCATGCCCCGGGGGTCGATCCTCGGATCGCTCTTCTGAAATATCGCTTACCGTTGCGTCCTCGCCCGGACCGTTCTTCCCGAAGGTTGCTCCATGATTTGTTCGCGACCGGTCACGAGTGAGCCGAGGTTCGCGAACGCGTGGAGACGTAACTTTTTGCGACGGTGGAGGTCATCCGCGGCATCGGACTGCGGGTGTCTCTGCCAAAAACGGAAGCGTGCGGATTCCACCGTCCGAGGAATCAACTTCCCAACGAACTGGCACTGTCGTCTGGAGGAGTCAGGATCGGGGTGAGGAGGACGATCAAATATCTGGGGGTCACCTTCGACTCGGTTCTCACTTTCGGGCAACACCTCGCGCTCCTCAGACCAAAAATCCGAGCGGCGAGCGCATCGTTAGGGCGCCTGATGTCGAACCTGCGGGGTCCGCGGGAGAGGGTCAGGCGGTTGTACGCGACGGTCGTCCATTCCGTGGCTTTGTATAGAACCCTGGTTTGGGCAGAGTCCGTTACGGCATCTCGGCCGCTTCGCGACAGGGTGATCCAACTCCAAAGTGCGTCTCTGAACAAGGTGGCGACGACATACAGAAACATCGCGGCGAAAGTGGCTTGCCTTCTGACGGGCACTCCCCCGCTCGATCTACCCGCGATAGAGAGACTCGTCCTCTATCGCGAAGGGAGTCGCGGCGGGATGAGGAGGGCTCGTCTTCGCAGGGAACTTCACGTTCGAACGGTTAATAATTGGCAGACGCATTTCGGCGATGGGAGAAAGAGATACGGCGGCGAAATCGTCTGTTGGTTCTGCGGTGCGCCCGGGGACGACGTCGAACACACGATCGCGGAATGTCCCATGTGGGACGAACACAGGCAGCGGCTTCGCGGAGTCATTGGACCCGACCTGTCAATCCGCGGCCTCGTGGACGCGTTGCTTCGCGAACCCCGGAAATGGTCCGCGATTTCTCGATTTTCGGAAGCGGTCCTGCGCACGAAAGAGGACCGCGAGCGCGAACACGAAAAGGAGTTCGTCGTCGTACGTTTCGGCCAAGTAGATTTAGGGGTAACAAAAGGAATGAACTTGTCCCCCATTTAGTCCTTATTACTCGTTAGGAGAGAATGCGGTCAACTAATTTCTTCACTTTTATCTATACACTCCCTTAACAGGTGGCAAAATTTACTCTAAATTCTTCCTCCCGACGACATTCTCAGGATTGCTTCCCTTCCCCCAATTCCCCCCAAGACGAGGGACGGGAGGACTGTCTCGAAAGGAAGAGCCGAACGTTCTGAGAGATGCGTTCTCATCTTCGAGGTGACGGCGGAACGAAGATTAGAGCGGATCTCCCTATAGCGATCATGTGGAACGGTCAACATTCTGGCTTACCGGAGAGGGGAGACTGAAATGTAGGTTTTACCCCCACGAGCGTATCCCTCCCTCTTCATACAAGCCACGCTATAGTGACATGCCCAGGAGTCAGTGAGTAGGAGTTCCCGGTTAGGTTTTTTCTTCAAACCCATACCGAGCTCCACACTCCCTCCTCGGAGAGGTAAGTGCGTAATCGCATTTCTCCTGGGTCAAAAAAAAAAAAAGGATGACGTGAGTTATACAAATCAATCTCAACTAATGTAGAGGGGCGCAAGATCTCCTCTCGCAAGTGATGGAGGATGAGGGCTTTGACATCGCAATGATTTTGAAGCTTTACAGAGTTCCGACTGAGGGTTCCAGTTCTGACGGACTTTGGTATGCGTCCGAGGACGGCAAGGCTGCGATCCACTTCTCCGGGTTAGGTCAGCCCCCGAGAGCCAGGGTGCTGTCCAGGGGGGATGCCTTCAGACTCAATTTTGCTCTCATATAAGGGGGAGTGGCGGGCTGCGCCGACCCGAGTGCGCCCAGCAATATGAAGCTCCAAAAACAATTGTTGAAAGGGGCTCTTGAGGGAGGAGAACTCGGATTGGGGCTGGGAGTCGTTGTGTGCTCCTGTAATCCAACTACTTAGAGGCTGGGTGCAGCGGATGTTTATTCTTAGGCAGACCTGTTCCCTACAAATCTCGGGGGTAGATGACGTGGACCCCGGCATTTGTCCTTTTTTTCAGGGAATAAGACCGGATGTCTGGATTCATCGTTTCGCTCTTCGGAAACACGGGATCGCAAGCGGAAAGAACACGGGGAGATCCAAGGCCCCCCACGGATCGACTCGTCTCCGGAAGCTTTCGATCCTCGCGGGAGATTCGCAAGCGTGGGACCGTATTGCGAACGAATCGCTTGCCACAGCGTAAAGAAGCTCGAGATGACGACGGCAACGGCTCCGGCGGACGTCAACGTCGGATGCCGCGACGGCGGATTTTCGAAGCTCAGAAAAGGAGAAGAAGAAGCAATCATCGTAGAGGTGGCAGGGGCGAGACACGGAGGGACCGCGGGGGAAAACTCGGAGAAGCCCGGACTCCGGGGATTTCTTCTCATCTCCCGAAGTTCATCTCGCCACTGCGGAGGAGGCGGAAGTGACGTGGCAGGTCGCGACCGTCTTCCAAGGCACAAGGGAGGAAAAAATTTGCCCCGGTACTCCGAGTCGGGCTCCGGTTCTCTTGCTCGATTACGTCGGGGGGAAATCTGTCCCGGCTTCGCTGCGTGGGGCGCTCTTCTAGATGGCCGAGAGTCGCGACGGGCTCCTGTGATCCAGCTTCCAGGAGGCAAAGTGCAGCGGATGCTTGCAAACATGCGCTAAGTTCGGCGATCGCCAGGAAGACGGGAAATTAATCATCTATTTACAAGTGCGTGCCTTTGATCTCCCACCAGCGAACGAGGGGAAACGCGTGGCGGAAAAATGAAGGCGGGATCGTGTGGAAGTAGCAAACCCGTTCGATGTCGTCCCGTTCGGAAACCCTCAGCTTCCCGCAATCGAGGCGCGAGCGATGTGGCAGGTCGCTCCGTCTCACTCTGAGCGACGCCGAAAGAAGAAGACTCGAAGAGGAGACGGCGACGGAGATTTTTCGGACGGCTCCCCTCAATGTAAACGTGTGGAACGGTTAACGTTCTGGCTTTCAGGGGACTGCCTGAAATGTAGGTACTACCCCAACGACTGTTCCCCCCTCTTCATATAAGCCACGCTATTGCGACATGCTCAGGAATTTTAGTGGGTACGGGTCTCCGGTTAGGGTTTCTTCGAACCCATACCGAGCCCCACACTCCCTCTTCGGAGGGGTTAGTGCGTAACCTGCATTTCTCCTGAGAAATCAAAAAAAAAAAAAAAAAAAAAAAAAAAGGTGGACTCGGATTCGTGAAGGTCTTCCGTTCCGCCTGGTAATGCTTAAACTGCGGGGTTCGTCGGAGCCATTGACGGCTAGTAAGCACGAGAAGTTCCTTGATGAAGTTATCGCTGAGCTTTTCCCCCGTGTCGAGCAGTCTGTGTTCCCGACGACTGACTCGGGCGGAGAGGAAAACTGCGAGGAGGTTTCGGTGAGTAAAATCCGGAATCTCTTGGAAGCGGCTGTGAAGAATCGGACGACTCCGGGCCCGAACGGGGTGCATTACGCGATTCTTGGCAAGTCTGCAGAAGTTATGGGTGCGCGCCTTTCGATACTTTGCACCGTATGTTTGCGAACCTCGACGTTCCCGCGCCAAGCGAAACGAAGCTTGTGTTGCTTCCGAAATCGGGCCGCGATCCGTCGTCACGTAGTTCGTATCGACCAATCTGTCGTCTTGATGTTGACGGCAAGTCGTTTGAGCGCATCGTCGCGTCGCGGATTATCGCACACCTTAAAAATGGGGATAAGAGACATGATCTTTCCTCGTACCAATTTGAATTCCGGACGGGGCGTTCTACAGCGGACGCACTCATTCGGGTTCGAGATTTGGTGCAGGCAGCACTAAAAAAGCGAGGTGTCGCCATTGCGATATCGATTGAAGAACGCGTCAAAAACGCGCTTAGTTCGGTGCCGAAGAGGGGCGATTTGGACGAACCTTGAGATTAAGGGGCCGTGCCAATTTACTTGTAGGCAATAATAGGATCCTTTCTATCCGACAGGAAAATCGTGTTTGAGAAACCATACGGAATTACGGTAAGGGTAAACGTTTTCTCCGGGTATGCTTACCGAAAACGGAAGCCTGCGGTTTTCATCGCTCGTGGGACGCGCTTCCGCGGAATCTGGCATTGTGGCTGGAGGAAAGAGAGATAAGGATGGGAGGAGTCTTGAAATATCTAGGGGTGACCTAGGCGGTTAGGGCGGATCTCCCCATAGCGTTCATGTGGAACGGTCAACGTTCTGGCCTATCGGAGAGGTGAGACTGAAATGTTGGTTTTACCCCCACGAGCGTCTCCCCCCTCCCCATATAAGCCACGCTATTTGGACATGCCCAGGAGTTTTAGTGGGTATGGGTTCTCGGTTAGGCTTTCTTTAAATCCATACCGAGCCCCACAACAAAAAAAAAAAAAGGGTCCAGTTCTGTAATAAATTCCTCTTCAGAATCTTCTATATATTCCTTCTTCTTTAACTTTCCTTTGACAATAGTAACTCTAGAACATTTTTTCAAACCAAATTTCATGTTAATGTCAGAGGAAAAGTTTGTGCCGTCTTTAACATTTTCTTAAATTCTTGTTCATTCTTCGCATGTAGCTTCAGATCATCCATGTACAACTTATGGGTGATTTTTCTGCTTCCTGGCGTTAATTCGAAGCCTTGATCCTTTACATTTAACAATAGTTTCGACAGGGGAATTAAGCTTATACAGAACAGCATTGGCGACAGTGAATCTCCCTGAAAAATTCCTCTTTTTATAAATATTTTCCTAGAAGAGTATTTTTGCACTTCCAGCTGGGTGCACTAATTTTTCAAACTCTTCCCACAAAATGCAGTAATTTTTGAGTCGACTTTATAAATCATTAGTGCCTTGATAATCCATTCGTGAGGCACACTATTAAAAGCCTTTTGATAGGTCAATCCACGCCATGCATAAATTCTTCCTCTTTTCTCCTTCATTACTTTAAACTTTTCCGAAGAATGTGGGCCGTCTCACATAGTGCGATTTCCTGGATGGTTTCTTCTTTTAACTTCTTCAATATTATTATTATTATTATTATTTCTTAATCAACAACAAATTAAACGAAAAAAAAAAGTGAAAAAAAATTTATTGTTTTTAACAAATCTTTAAAACAACTTTTACACGCAACAAGCGTGTACTTACTGCAATAAACCCACCAAAAAAAAAATTTTTACTTTTTTTTTTTTTCCACGACGTTTGTTAATGAATTGAATCAGAAAATTTTTTTTACAATAACCAATAATAATAATAATTAACCTGTTAAAAAAGTTTTATGTATATTATATTATGTAAAATAAAATCTATGTATTATTAACAATAAAAAAAAAAGAAAGAAATTAAACGCGTATAAACGTTTTCAATTTAAAATTCAATAAACTGAATAAAATATGTTTTAATAAAAGTTTTTAACATGGTTAATAAATTAAAAACCTCAATTTTATACGCTCTTTTATATTAATATTAATATTAATAATAATAATAATCATAATGATCATGATGATGATGAGAAAATGAATATTTGAATTATTAATAAAGAATGAATAAAAAAAAAAAAATGCGCTTATTTGGCGGTAAATAAAAAAGATTAAATATAAAAATGAGACACGAAAAAGAATAAAAATAAAGATGGAGGAAAAGCAGAGAGAGAGAGAGAGAAAAACTCCGACAATGTTTCGAAATATTTAAAAAAGAAAATTACACAAAATTTTACTTTAACAAAACTTTTTGAAAATGAAGAATAAAAAAAAAAAATTGGGGGGAAAAAACCTTCCGGGTGTCCTGAATGAATCTTTACATAAGGCAATATTTAAAAGAAAAACCGTGAAGAGTATATAAGTATGAAAAAGAGAAATAAAGAAAAAAAAAGTTGGTAAAATAGAATGAGTGAGAGAGAGAGAGAGAGAGAAATTTCAGGGGCATAACAGAAAAAAATTTTTTTTTTTTTACTTAAAAAAACCCTCAAGACAAGTTAAAAAATTTTTTTTTTTTTATAATTTATAACTGGAAAATCTTTTTCTTTTTTTCTTTCTTCCTTTTTTCCATTCTTTTGCGACGAGTGTAAATTAGTGTTAAAAAAAAAAAAAAAAAACGGGCGAGGAGGGGGTGAAGGGAGGAAAAGGTTAAAGTGAAGAGGAAGCGTCGAAAAAAGATTTTTTTTTTCTATTTCCCAACCTCTTTTCATCCCTTAAACAAAAAGGAAAGGAAAGGAAAAAAATGATCGCGTTACTCGCGTTTTACGTTTGAAGCAATTAAAAAAATTTTTTTTTTTTTTTTTTTTGTTTCCCCAAATTAAAAATTTTTTTTAATTAACAAAAAAAAATTTTTTTTTTGTTTTTGTTGTAAAAATAAATAATAATAATAATAATACAAAAAGTTAAAATATTTAATTTGTTAATTAAAAATAATAAAATAGTCTTAATATAAATAATCTCCTTAGATTTATTTTTTTTTATGAAAAAAGGAAAAATTTTTTTTAACGTTTTGCAAAATAATAATAATAATTTGTTTTTTTCTTTCGCAAAAAAAATTTTCTTTTTTTTAACCTACCTACGGGTAAAAAAAAATTAAAAGGATAGTAAAAAGGTCGAAAAGGTCAAAAAAAAAAGAAAAAAAAAGGTTGCTGTTGTTGTTGTTTTTTTTTAATAAATACATTTAATTATTGTTTACGTTGTAATAAATATTTATAACGTGTTATTAAATATAAGTATATAATTTTTTTTTCTTTTTTTAAACCCGATTTTAATCCCTTCAATTCCCTTTTTTCCCTCCTCCTCCTCCTTCTCCTCTTTTCCGCCATTTTCAATTAAAATAATTTTTTTTTTCGTTTCGAAACGGTAGTTATAAAAAAAAAAAAAAAAAAAAAATTCGCAAATTAAATAAAAAAAAAAAAAAAAACACGTGAATAACAACAACAACAATTTAAATTAATTTTTTTTTTACCTTTACTTTTCCCCCTCCCCTTTTTACCTTTACTCCTCCCCTTTTTTTTCATACTAAAACAACCCCTTCTCCAACCGACTCATGTTTTTTATTTTTTTTCGAATGTTAAAAAAAAAATTTAATCACATCTCTATTATTATTATTATTATTTATAAATAAGTTACACTCTTGCGGATAATAAATAATAATAATAATAATACACGCGAATTTTTTTTTACCATATTTGGTAATTTTTATTCGTATTTGAAAATTTTTTTTTTGTTAAAAAAAAAAAACACGCCGTCGTCGTCGTTTATTGTTTATCCCGCCATGTTTTTTTTTTTTTTACCGTCTAATGGATTTACGTCGCGTCGTTTACAATTTTCTTGATTATTATTATTATTATTATCACATAAAAACCGTCATAATGACGTCATAACGACGCCTTTTGATTTTCTTTTTTTTTCGTACACATATATTTTCAAGACGAATAAATATATATTTCGAAGAGAATATTTAAAATTCATCTGACGTGTTTTGTTTTTAGTAAATTTAAAATTTTACTTTTTATTTAAAATAAACGTCAGGATTATAATAAATATACCACGTGGTTTTCTCAAACGGAAATGACGGTTAAATTCGATGACTTTCCCTTCCCCCCCCTCCGAAAGGTTTCATTCGATTAATAAAGTATAAATTATTTATTTATTTATATTTTTTGTTGTTGTTGCGTTATTTAAATTTAAAAAAAAAAAAAACACCTGATGCTGTTGTTTTTTTTTTGTTAATAATAAATTATTAAAGTAAAATAAAGTTTAAATAACCGAAAAAAAAAGTTTTATTAATTTTAATAAATAAATTTTTTTTTTTTGTGATTAGAAATTTAGAATTTAAAAATGAGGAAGAAGGAAAAACGACATTTTTTTTACGAAAAAAGTTTTTTTTTTTTTTATAAAAAATTGACGGAAGTAGGAAGGAAAAAGGGAAGGAAAATAGGAAGGAAGGAAGGAAGGAAAATGGGAAAATGGAAAAAATAAAATGGAGTTAAAAATCGGTCGGTATAAATTTATTATAAAAAGTTTATTATTTTTTTTTTGTCAATACAAATTTTCTTTTTTTTTTTAGAGTGAGGATTAAGGCGGATATGGATGAGATGAAGGTGGATTGTGAAAGAGTCTAAGAGAAAGAGAGAGAGGGAAAAAGTAAAAGTATACTTTTTTTTCTTTCCTATTAAGTTCAGGGAAGATGAAGAAGAAGGGAAGGAGGAGGGGAGAGGGTGCGATCATTATACAAAAACTTCCTTTCGAAGATGAAAACTTTTTTTTTTAAAATGATACAATTACCCAAGTTGGAAAAACTTTTCTTTTCTTTTCTTTTTTTTTCGTAATACTTTTTATCTTTCCACTTTTCTCTTTCGTTTTTTATTATTCGAATTCCTTTCTCTCCCTCTTCTTCCTCCTTCTAATTTTTTTTTTACTCTCTCTCTCTCACACGCAATAAATAAAAAAAAAAAAAATTTTTTTCTTTACGGTTGGAAACAACGACTCGCACTCGCAAAAAAAAAACCAATTCTTTAAATTTTTTTAATTTCGT